TTTTTTTTTTTGCTTGTATTTTTAGTTTTACTTTGAGAGAAGAAAGATGGCGAAGCGTATTGTTCAGTTGCGTTATGCTTACTGCACTCATATTCAAACGGCTGACATAAATGAGCCCGTTGAATGCATCGTCAGCTATCTTCAAAATTATCATTTTTCTCGAGTGTTAATGCTATCTATCTGTGTATTTGTTTTGAAAAAAATTAATTAAGAAAAATCTTATTTGAACTGCGTTTATCAAAGCAAAATTCAAAAATCAATGTATGATTGAAAATATTCACCTTCACTAACTTCTTGTTATGCCGAAGATTTAAGAAAGCAAGTGTAGAACCAAGTTCGACAAAAATATCATTCTCCAAAACAGCTAGTTCATTCCATCCGAGATCTAGATCTTTTAAATTTTTCATTCCATTCCACCAACAAGGGAAACTTTCATTCAAATAATTTCCAGCCAGTGATAAACGTCGCAGATTAGGTGTCGAAATGAAACTTCCACATGCTATCTTATTCAGAAGATTAATCCGTAAATCCAGCTAGAATTTTTTCAATTCATTTTTTTCACTTCTCATTCAGTTACAGTACAGTGTAATTCATTAAATGCTTCTAAACATGGTCGAATTGGAGTACTTAATCGTTAAGCGAATAATAATGAATAAATAATGTTTACCTCAGTAAGTTTAGTTAAACCTTGAAATGTCTCATTATGGATAGCTGTTAAACTGCATCCAGCTAGCAGTAATTTTTCTAGTTTACTCAATCCTAGAAATGTTCCTGGTGCAATGTCAGTGATGCCATCAGCATTGTTCATATCTAGAACCTGATATCCTTTTCATTCCAGGTTTGAAGCAAATTTTCTAATGAAAAGATTAGTATTTATTAGTTGATTATTACCGACATAAATTTAAAATTTTGATTGTAAATTTTTAAATCTGATTTTACAGAATGAATATTTTTATAGTAATGAAGTAGATATATGCGATATTTCAAAGTCAACAATGTTGTATAGTTCTAGTTTCAAACTGATTAAAGCGCAAGTTTTTTATTACAGGTTTTAAAAAAGACCAGCCGCTAATTTTAAAAATTTTTTAATGATTCAACAGTTCAAAATTAGTTTGTTTGGTAAATGCTAATTTTTCATTTTTTTATTTCTTTCCAGTTGAATTCATACTTGAAGTTCGTTGAGCTGTGAAATTTCCTCGAAAATGCTATCGTTGACGAAATTGTGACTTCCATAACTAAGAATATGTAATGAATTACGAAGTGTTGATAGCGCTCCTTTTTCTAATGATGATATGAAGTTACCTTCCAAATTTAATGCTTCCAACTGTAGATGAGAATAGTTGAAACTAAGAAATATACATGTGGATCTGTTTACAATTAAGAAAATGGTAAGAAGTTTTTTCAGTATAAGTGACAAAATTTTTGAAAATTTTAGGCACATTTTAAATACTTTTTTTTACATTTCTTCAAATCTTAAAGTGGGCAGTAATTCTTTTGGAACAAAGCTCGAAGAAAATGACTTTAAGGCAATAAATGGCTTACTTTTTTCAGTGATTGGAGGTCATTTATTTCCAAATAGGTCAACTTGTTATGAGCTAACGATAAAGATTTCAAATTAGTCAAGTTGTGGATTGCTTCACGAGGGAATTCTTCTAATTTGCAGTCAGTAATAGAAAGTTCTTCTAGTGTTTGCTCTACTCCGTAAAACGCGCTAGGATGAATTTTTAGAGGACCGATATGGATGCACTTATCTGCATGTTGTAGATATAGATTAATTATGGATTTTAAATAAATTAAATGAAGAAAAAATTGCTTTAATTGCTTTATTATGAATTTCTGAAAGTAAAGTGAAGAATGAGTTAGCTAACCAACAGAGATGGTTTGTATTAATGCAAGTGAGCTATGGAAAAGGCTTGCAGGCAAAGTAGCGTTGTCAAATTCCATACGAGTTAGTGTTATCTGAAACATGGAATGATTTTTGAACATATTTTCGAGATGTCGATTATTACTTTGCAATTATTGTGCATAGTAAGAAATATGTCTTAACTGTAGTTAAGGAAAGTGCGCAGAACTTGATTAAGTGCAGAGACTATTAAAAGTATCAGCTTTTGTAAAGTTTATCCTTCTTTAGCAGATAATGCAATGCTTTTCTCATACTACTCTACTATACATAAAGTTCTGTAGACTAGAAAAGTTTTAAAAGTAAGAAGTACCTTTCGAAGAGTTTTATTCACTTTTTCTATAGCATTAATGACAGTTTGAAGTTGTTGAACTGAAGAACCATACAAGCAACTTATGCTCACTTCATTCTCATCTAGTGCATCACAGAAACAGAAGCTTCCATTATAAGAATCAATTTCGGCGATTGACCTCAGGTCAGGACATCCAGGAATTATGGAATCGAATCTAGTTGCTTGTGTTGTTGTAAACAGAATAAGGGGATACAGTAAAAAGATAAGATTATTTATGGTTAACATGTGGTTTGGACGGACTTTATTTCGAGTATCAGAGAAGAGTGGTGAGTCCTTTTTCGTCTCTTGTTTTTCCTTGTCGGCATATTTTACAGACGTAAAAAATTGTCGTAGAGAAAATGCAAACATTGAAGAAGAAAATGTAGTCATTCTGGAATGAGCCTTCATTTCTTGACTGGTAGATTGTGAAGATGATTGAAGATCACTCTCTTCCCTGCACATCTGTGGCATTAACAAGTTTCAGCTGTCACTGAAAAGAGTTGTGAAGGATTTGTAGTAAATTTTCTTCTTACTTAACACACTAAGTACAAATAATATTAGCAGAGATATTACTCTTATAGAAGCAGTATCCAGAAGATCATATCACGAAATTAAAACTACTTAACTGCTGACTGTAATAACACATTATCAGGCGAACTACCTTAATTTGATGTCTTCACTTACGACCTTATAGCCCCCAATCTTGCTCTCTTTCAACTTTTTTATAACCTAATAAAACAATTCCCCTCAAAATCATTTGACCATCACACAGTATAATCAATGTTTAATGCTGAAACCAAAGAAGGACTGAGTTTTAAGCAGTATCTTGGTTACACCTTACGAAGGAAGATTCAAGACATATTGACTCGAATCTCTCTCTTTTTTTTTATCCACTTAACTAACAGTCCTTATCAACAATTCTAAAGTCAGATGAGCATGACAGTGATAATAATGGTGTTAAAGATGGTGATGGCATGTCAGAAATGATGATAATTGTATAATGTTGTACCAATCACCAACTGACCTACAAAGAAATTAAGATGAATTTTTACATTTTGAAGATACCATTCATCACCAGCACTACTGCTACCGTCTTCATCACCCCCACCATCATCACATGCATATATTTGTTCATTTTCAGGTTTTCTATCGTATCATTCTTGACACCACTAGCCTTTCATTGTTAGTAACAGTAATCACAGTTATCATTGTTGTTTTTTTATTTGCAACTGTTGTTATGATTGATATTTGTTTTGCATTTCTTGCCAATCAAAAAGAATTTAGAATATACTGGTCACTATTGCTTTTCGGTCTCATGCTACTACTACTACTGCTTTTTTCATTCGTAGAGAAGTTTTTATTCTGTTTTCGAATTAATCATTAAAAAACTGTAATTATTGATTACATCAGGTTGTAATGTTTTTATATTGACTGTAATGGTACTGCACAATATTTTTACGATACTCTTTATTGCACCAATTTATTTGCTTATTATGAAAGCAAAATATAGAGATCACACGGTGCTAGATTTTCGCAGTAACAAATGAAATTTATAAAAAATGTTTGGTACTCTTGGTCTACTTTCGTTCTCAGAAGGGATTAAGAAGTTGAAATCATTATGGTTAAAGAGACCGTTTTACTCATTTTTGGGACTGGTGGAAGCAAAAAAAATCGTTGTAAAATCATACCATTTTCTTGACCTGGTAATCATTTTCGCGATCGAAATTATGTTATTACCGTTTTTCTAATTTAAATCGCTCGCGCATAATCTCAACGAAACAGTGTGGAGCGATCTTTCTCTCTGCACTTATTTTCTCAATTGCCATTCAGTCCCTACCAGAAATATTTTTTTATTCTCTGCTTCCACTTTCATACTCTACCCAGTGACAGTGACAAGTGTAGTTAATCTTAATCTTCAGCTTATAATCTTATCGAGAGCCAGCCTCATACTACTTTGCTTTTCAAATCAAAATTTGTTATTTTTTGTCATAACATTAAATTTAAAATTTTTTCAATTTCTCTGCTTCAGAGTTGTAGAGATGAAATATAAGAAGTTGGAGTTTTTATAAATTTTTGAAAGTATAAATCACATGCTGCATGTAAGTTTCAACTTCAGATATGTTGAGCCGAAGTCACCCAAAATTATTTGTGAAGAAAATTTGCCTGAATTAGAAGAAGAACTTCTTAATGAAGAACAGAAACAACGTAGTCGTCTGCAGCAGCTTCACTTTCAAGTGAATTATAATTTTTGCTTTTTCATCTTACATTAATTAAGATTTTTCCATATTCAGAATTGTAATTATTGGAAATAAGTTTTTTTAAACCCTTCGTAGTTTCGCTGTACGTATTATCCAGAAATTCTTGCCTAAAACATTCAACTTGTTGTAAGTGAATCATTCCTTCTCATAAAATGTATTCAATTAAATGGCTGGATTAAAGTATGTAAAAATTTTAGATAAAAGAGCTGAGAGAATTGGATTTGCCAACAAAGGAAACGGAAGACGAATTATGGGATGTGCAAACTGCAATTACAATGCTCTGCAGAAAAGTTTTTATTACGTTATTTCAAGACAGATATTTTTTAGTATTTTTATGAAACCTCTGGTAGTGCTAATTTATAGTTAAATCGCGGGTGACTTTTTATTTCAAGGAACTGACAGCATAGTTTTGCTTCCTGTGCACTATCTTATTGGCTTAGAGCTTGTGGTGAGTCATACTTCTCGTATAAGGTACAATCGTATTTTAGAAACGCCTTTACCCTCTAACAATCAGTTTAGGTTAAAAGTATACGTGTGAAAAAAGTGGAGGAAGTAGAAACTCGTAAAAGCGGCGTGCCTACGCCCACACTCGAAATGTTTGAAGAAAAGCAGTTACTTGCAGCTTGTACGGCTCTGCGCGAGGATATTGCTCGTTATAGGTCGGAAATAATCACTTTGGATCGACATTTACAAGTGGTAAATGAAGTAAGCAGAATCCGTACTGTTTGGCCAATGCTTCTCTCTTATGTCAAATTCTATGATGTTATTATTAATTTGCAATAAGATAATTTTTTCAGAGTAAAAGTACAGAGACGGCGAAGGACAATGAAGATGATGAGGAAGATAAAGATTTTTGGCGTAAAGAATGCTTGAAGGAGGAGAAAAAGCGTGAAGATTTATTATCAGCTATCACTTCACTTCGATATGACTGCTGTCAGTTACGAGCACAAATTGAACTAAATGCAGTCAAACGACCCGCATTGTTAATTACGCGGTTCTAATCATATAATTAGGGGTTACTTTTGATGTTTTTAGAAAAAAATTTGCTGTGATTGTCCAAAAACAAATAAAATTTGGCATTTACTAAACATTCAGTAAGTTCAAGCACTGATTACGGAAAATCATGACAAACAAAACAAGCAATGTAAAAATTTAACTCAAATTACGAAGGAACAAAACTGGTATATGCATTAATAAAAAGAGCATTTTCTGAGAAATAACCTACGAACTAAATGAAATATGCCAAACATCCACTGAATTACTTTTGATTCAGAATATTTAGATGCGCCATTCTTATATCGATACGCACCTATAACTTTGAGTGCAGCAACGCTTTAAAAATTAAGGCTTTCTCAATACCATTTTTTCTACTTACTCGCATTTGAACACTGAAACAACACGTAAACGCTCAAATAACACCAACTATAAAAGGTTTTACATGTGAGCAATTTATAAAGGCGATTACTTCCTATTCATTATTATGAGTATAAATTTTAAACACAGGACTAACACACACGAGTAACTTGAGAAGTGTATCAGGAATAACAGGCTCTAAAAACATTTTAAATATAAGTTCGGGAATCGTCATCATACATTCAGCTTATTTACTATATTGGATATTGTAATATGAGCATGTGAATAACAATGAAGCTTTGAGGACGTGACATCTAGTTGATTATCTAAAAGTAAGCTTCTCATGTTATGCAATCTCAATATGCACATCTTTAATCACTATAGAAATTTTACTTAAAAAATTTTTAAGATATAAAATATTCGTTAAATAGGCTTTCAGAGAACAATATAGGACAGAAAATTTAATACGGCACTGAAAAAATTAAAGACCGTGAGCTACGCTCATAAATTACTTTGCATTATACCAATTTTTCATTGGTAAAAATCACCGAAACACATGAATTGCTTTATTTCATGCTTATTTGGTAGTGCTGATTATTTGTCCCTAGTCATATTATAATTTTTATACGACATTATCGCTTCTTACTATCTAACTCTTTCCGTTTGAGCCAGAGCTATTTGTATCAGATGATCCCGTACTCCATCACCATTGGGGAAATTGCGAACCTGAAAGTATTTCGTAGCTAGATTCTCAACTCTCGACTGAATCTTTACTTCAGATCTCATCATTTCATGTATATCATCGAATCTACAGACAACAATATGTATGCAAGCTCGATCGTGCATAAAATTGAATTCTGAGAAAAAGTTCATTGATAGTTATTTTTCCAACTTTAATGATATAATAATATCCATTGCTTCGTACCATGTTAGCAGCATGTTCAGCATGTTTTTGAGCAGCAGCTCGAGTCTTTTCCAAACCAGTACTATTAATGACAATTTCCCTTGCTAGTTCAGCATCACCATCATTAGAAAAACTTCGTGCTATCAGTTTATTGAGCTCAGGATATTCCTCAGCAGCAAAAAGAACTGGAGCAGTTGCAAGCCCTAAAAAAAGTTTGTATCAAATTTATGTGTACAATCTTTCCTCAATCTTCCTGTCTTCATTATATTACCTAATTTAAGGTCAGTTGCAGTGGGTTTTCCAGTTACTGACGACGGAGAGACATAATCCAACAAATCATCGATCATTTGAAAAGCAATGCCTAATGACTTTCCATATTCATATGCAGATAACTCAATAGCTTCTGATACGTCTGGAAATTTTGATAAAATACTCAGACAATCTTACTTAAAATGAATTCGAAAAGCAGTTGCCACAGACTATCACAGCCGTAATGTTTCACAGGCAATAATAATAAATGAAGTACAAAAAGAAAAAATTACTCTAGTGTTTGTTACTATTCTAGCAATACTTCTTTGCACAATTCAAAAAAAATCTGTAACGAGAATATTTTTTGCTTATGCTCACCTGAGAGCATTGCTGCTGACCTGCAACTATTAGCGAATAGTGATGCAGTTTTTGAGTATGTTTTAGCCATATATTTGTTGAACCTTTGCGTTGAACTGAGATTTAACCCATCATCCATTTGCATAAACTCCCCTTTAACTAAATCTTCAATGATGGTTGCCATCACAGAGATCACTGAAGGCCGTCCAATGCTACAGAGAACTTGCGTAGCACGAGCTAAAATGAAATCTCCCACCAACACAGCCTGAAATACCTTTCTGGCAGCTATGAAAATATTGAACATAGAATTGTAATCAAACCTTTTTGCATAGCAATTTGCACTTCTCCCTATTTTTATCGTGACGTTGACATAAACCAATTTGAAAACTAACACAACAACAGCCAAATTACCATTTTGTTTCCCCAAAGAGCATTTACGGTAAGGCTGCCTCGTCTTATACTTGCTTCGTCAATAACATCATCATGTACTAATGAAGCAGTGTGTATCATTTCTGATATTATAGCTATTTTATGCTGATTATTCGTTACTGTGTCCCGAGCTGAATCTACCAACAGTCTGAAAATATCAAAAAGTAAAATAATTCTAAATTTTGAAACATGGACAGATGAGCAAGATAGTATAAGATATATAAAATACTATAATTATGTGATGTTTACAGTGTAAAAAGGAATTTAGCAATGAAATCTTTTTTTTTTAATTATAGAAGATGTTACAAGTCAAAAAAAAGCTATGCTCATTGTAAAACCAACGACTCAGGATCAAACTGATTGCATGCTTGGGCCATTAGTAGGCAAATTGTTGGTCTAAACAGTTTTCCACCTTGATTAAAATAATATTTGGCCATCTCTTGGAAAGTTTTTGTGAATATGGAACTTCGAAAGCACGATGATAATAATGATGGACCATCATCAGCATTTCGAACAAGTGTCTCCATAATTTCATACTGCAAAACAGGGCAAACTTTCACCGTGTTTCAAAAAAGAGCAAGTAATTGAAAAAATCAGAATCACCAATTTTACTTTTAGCATTAAAGGTTACCTGAAGTGTTTTTAATTTAATCCTGATAAAATCAGGTAGATGGGTGCTAGAGACTTTTTCTGTAGCGAGAAAAGGATGATGAAGTGCACGGGTTGACTGCTTCAAAATATGAGGCGACGATGATGCAAAAGAGTGACGGAAATCGACAAACTGAAGCAAAAAACTAGATGATATTTAAATCAGACTATAATTTCCAAGAACTTATTGCATCAGTGACTATAATGCATACACTTATGGTACGAAGAATAACTGCAAAGTGAAATTTTTCGGATATCAATAATTCTAATGTATTTTTAAAAAAGCTGCTTAGATTGCCATGAATCTGAGAATAAGGTAAAATGTTACATGATTTGTAAACTGAGAAAACTTCAACTGTCGTTTCCACAACGAATGTATGCAGCACAAACTTATCTTAGCTCGCCATTTCATATAATCCATTGAACAAATCCAAATGTGCTAAAATTTTGAAGTGGATAACACAACTGACTAGAATTAGCTTTAATTAAAAACATGATGGAATATTACGCACATCCTAGCTGATCTATAATACTGCAAACTAAAATAAATCTACAGGATTCAAAATTTGAATTAATACGACCAACAACCTTCGTTTTTCATTTTTTGAGTCTTTCACTCAGTCAAATTAAAGGAAAAATTTTAATGGGCCGCATTTTCTTCTAATCTTCATTCTGCGAACAAACATTGTTATTTAAACGTTGTTCTTATTAGTGGTATTATTTTCCCTAGTATTGCTATTGTTAGTTATTCTCATAACTCACTTTAATATGATTTGTTTTAGTGATTATATGAAGTAATAATATAAAGCTTGTTGGAGTGCGAATGCGAAGTAACGTAGTGACTTTGAATTCGTATTTAATCCCTTTCTAAAACGCACAGCTTTTAGTTTCATTATTCCGAATGATAATAAAAAGCTTTGACAAATAAACAACTAACGAAAAACATAGAAAAATTAGTTTTTTAAATTTTTTTTAGCTTTTTTTTCTTTTTTTTTGCGGGGAGTGGGTGGGGTGGAGAATATGAAAAAACTCTCTTTGTCTATGATGATTGTGGTCTAGGGTGTAGTTCTTGTAATTATAGCTCCTGAAGAAGAAGGTTTAGCAGTTGAAGAAATAGATTATTATTCTCTCTTCTCAGTCATTGTAGCAGTGACTTACTGAATATGGCTAATAAAATCTGCTAACTTTGCTGGTAATTTTTGAATTTTTTGAAGTTGCTTACTATTTAATGTGTTTTTAGAATTATGATTGTAATTTGTCGTGTATAACCTTCGATTACAAGAGATTTCTTGCAAAATGCTGCTCAAAAGATCAAAAAAATGAGTTAAATAGCTTTTATTGAAGCTCTTATTTAGGTTATATTAGTATTCAGTTTAGGTCATATATCAACACGATAAAAAGATTATATACACATTATGCCACCACTTGATGGTCAGTATCATGTGGAGGAAAAAAGCTGGAATGAATTACTTTTGCATTCTCGAATGTGGCGTAATGTATCAAAGTTAGTGTTTTATATTACATATTGGTTTAACGTCATGGATTTAAATATATATATTAGTATCTCATCTTCTTGTTTTTTGCAAGTATAACATTGTAACTGTAACAAGATGAGAAGTTACTGTTATTGAGATTATGTAGTCGTCCTTTAATTACTTTTTAAAGCTTTAGTATTCGTTATAAATATCTGAATTTAGCTTCTTCCATGGTGTAGTTAAATTCACTTGCTTATTTTTTTAAAATGCTATGCTGTTACTCATAAATTAGTCAAAGTAATTTTGTTATTTTTTACTTTTCTTGCAGAAAACGGATGAATATGATATTACATCATTTCCTTCTTTATGTCGATGATTCGGGTACAGATCGTATTCTTGCACTGGGTGGATCAGGACCATCACCTTTACAGACCATTTATACTGCTCCCTTGACGCGCTCACCTTTGATTAGTTCAGTAGCTAAATTGATTTTACACCCTTATTTGGATTGTAAACCAAGCAAGGTTTGTTTTCGAGCTTTATGCTTTAAATTTTAGCATCTTTGAAGCATTCTATTTGTATATTCATGCTTATGACTACATTTCTATTAGTAATTCGTAGCAGCTATATTTCTTCAGCATGGCTTTTATTGAAATTTTTTAAACACCTATTTAAAGGATAAATTGAAAATTTTAGAATATATTTTAAATTCGTCTATTATTATTTTATAAATTGGTGGCTCTTTATACTGTTCTCACTTCTAATTGACCATTTCTTTCATCGGTTCTTTTGATTATACTCATTTTATTTTAAAATTTTCATGTATTATTATCCTTCATCGAGCAGTACATAGTACGATCACAAAAATAGTGTATAAACGTTAAATAGTAAAGATTCCCAGTAAATAATTGTCATTAAAGATGTTTGTATTCTATTTGTAATACATTTGTATAATTGTACCATTGATTTTAACTAATTAGATTTTGAAGAGTGGACCTGCACCTCCCGAAATGGTAATATTATGTGAAAGGCAAAGAACTGCCGTTGCAACTGGCATTTCATCTTACCATTTTGATCCAACTACTTCTACTTTATTGTATTCCGATTCTAGCAATTTGTATTTGGTTCAGGTATCGTATTTACCTCTTCAATCTATAAGTTTTTATTTTGTATGTTTTTGCACAGTTTCTTAAAATTCCTTAAAATTGCACTTAATTATCTTCCAGTATAATTAAGTGCAATTTTAAGTTGTTTACTGTATTCTTCATCTGCTCCATAGTGTATCCTTTTGTTTACTTTCGTGGTTTCATGTAATTACCAAGGTCTTAAAATATTATCCTAGTAAGATTTATTGGAGTTATAACCCAAAACAACAGTAGCTTCCTAATTAGTTAGCTTAATTATTAGACCATTGTTTGGCAACCTTATCTCAAGAATATATTACTTTTTAACTTACAATCTTACAGAGAAAAGAAACAAATATAATTGGAGAAGCCATAAGGAGTTGCCCGTTATATGCACGACTATGTCCTGCAGACAGCAGTCTGGTAGCTTTTGTTGCAAATTCAAACGTTCATATTGATTGGTAAGCTAAGCCATTCAATAGTCTTATTCTTCATATAAATGCTCTATAATTTATCAAGTCTTATAGTGTTTGGAAAATTTCTATCAGTGATATTGTATGTCTTCTCGACTTTTAAAATTAAGGAAAGGGGAAGTGGTATATTCTTCGAAAGCTGGCGCTAATATTATGAATGGGTGCTCATCGTTTATTACTCAAGAAGAATTGAATCGGTATACGGGGATGTGGTGGTCGCCAGGACCAAGAAAAATGTTACTTTATGAACAAGTCGATGAAACATTTGTTACTGGGTTGCAATTTGCCGTACCCGGTTGTTTACCGTCACAGCCGATGAAATATCCTATCGCTGGTTCAGCTAATGCTATCTCTACATTGCGGTTGATCATCATAGAAGAAAACAATGTATTTCTCGTCTTCATGTACTTGTCACAGCACATTTAAAATGCAACAGATGTTTCAAATTCTCAAATTTCAAAAGCTAACCATTCTTAGCATTTTAAAAAACTATACTTGCCAGAAATGAAATTCACAATTTATTGCATTTGTTTTTTCAGATAACTGATCATGAATTGAATGTGGAGCTTAAGTCAATATATCCCTGGTATGAATATTTAACACGAGTGGGATGGTTGCCTGATGAAAGCGCGTATGTGTTTCGTTGTGTATGAAAACAAATAGTTATACATTTAATTGCATTTCAAATTTATATCTTTATTTATTTGTTTTATTGCATTTTTATTATTTATGTTTTTATTTTGTAAATTATTCAGATTCTTTAAATCGAAAGTATCTTGTAAAAGTCATTAAATTATATTTTTTGTCATTGATGTTAGACTCTTAAGAATTTCAGAATTTGGGCCTTGTTGCATAATCGACTGCAAGACCGTTATGCATTGATTTTGATACCTCTAAGTTTATTTGAATGTAGGGAAAACCAAACTGGTGCTCAAGTTGTTACGCTGTTACAAGAGCATTCTGACGTGTGGTTTAATGTTAGTTTTTATAATTCAGACAAAATTCAATGGTCTAGCTCAGTTTTTTCACAACAAAATAGATTGCAAGAAAATGCGTGTGATGACTCCACTGTTGTTGCATTTTATTGCAAATACTTTCAATTGCTTTTATTTCGAAATCAGTATTGTAGGTGGATAATTTAACTCGGTTCCTAGCCCCAGTAGGAAGAGTACTCCAATTTATTCATGCTAGTGATCGAAATGATCACACTCATTTATTTTATTACACGGCTGAACTTGATGAGAGTAAGTTTACTTTGAAAGCATTCGAAAATCAGTAAATTTTATGATTTGCTGGGAGATTTTTTCTGATTCATATTTTTAGCTCATCCAATAGCTACTTGTATGTCAAAACCGATCACAGCTGGAGATTGGTCAGTTATGAGAGATCCAGGGCTATTTGTTGACGAAAAAAGAAAACATGTTTATTTTGTCGCCAATAAGCATCATCCATCTGATTCGAATTTGTATGTTTCGCATTAAATTTTCCTTGGTAAGAAGTAAAATTTTTCTAACTGGCGAATCTTCAAGTGTGGTCAGTTTCGTTTCATTGGTATATTTACAAAAGTTAATGAAATTGATAGTTTCCTAAATGAAAGAAACTCGGATTTTCGTTGGGATATCGTTATTTCAGTAACTTTCAACTCGTAATTTTGTCGTATTATAATTTTTAGGTGCGTTGCTTATTATGGAGACTCATCAACTGACTCAAAAATTTTAAGTAGCATTGGACTTTCATATAGGTATATTTCATAATTTCTGTTCCAAAAATTTATTTGTTAGCGTGCTTAATAAGATGAATATGTTTGTACGTTATCTATTAAAGAATGTTATTTTAGAACATTTCATATTCAAAAATAATTCTAGTCAAGTATTTTACGAACCTTATTGACTTTTGTAAAGATACGAACGAATGGATGAACTGCAGTTGAATCCGGAAATTGGGTTTGTATGTTGGGAAAGTTCTCTTCAGATGCCTCCTAAGTGCTCATTTTATCGACTTCATCATTTAAATGGCGACCGGTTGCCAACAGCAACTTTACAGCATCTTATTTTCTTACCCCAACCTACTTTCAGTGAATCGAATCTGAAGATTGGTAACTTTGTATTATTACTTTCAAATGTGTTTAATCTGAAAAAAAATTATCAGTGTAAAATTATTTCACTCGCATGAACTGTTTGCAGAGAATATATGTGAACCAGAAGTTTGTGTCAGAGAATATCCAGAACTATTCGAATATGAATCGGCAAATTCTAAGCGAAAGCATTATGCCCTTTTGGTTAAGCCTTTTGGAGCGATTCGAGGACTTCATTATCCTGTTATTCAACTTGTTTATGGTGGACCTGGTGTGCAACTCGTTCGCAATACATGGTCCACGTTAGTATTTAGAATACTGTTATTCAAGTTTTGAGGAATATGTGGCATATGTTAAAAATTTTATATTACGGGATGTAAATTAGATTTTATCTCAGTTTCAAGAACGAAATATATTTGTTTGTCTTTATTTGCTTTTCTGTAATATATTAAAAATTAGATATGGAAATGCATTCCGATCTAAAAAATTTTTTATTGCTGAAAACGGCCATAAGCGTTTAGATGGGCTGGATTTCGGAAATTCGCCGGTCTTGGTTATGCTGTTCTTATTGTTGATGGACGCGGCTCATCAAATCGTGGCATTTCATTTGAGTCAGCTATCAAAAATAAATTGGTTAGTACAAATCACTAAAATATCTAGTGGGTTTGGTTAAAGGTTTGTTGTAAAGTCTCCGAAATCCCTAAATTAACATAACTTCCCAGGTTTCCGAATTCAGTCAGGGAATTTGACAAAATTGTGACTTACATATGAATAGGAACGGTTTGTTTAATTTTATTCAGGGCACTGTTGAAGTTGAAGATCAGGTGGAAGGCCTTCGGGAAGTGGCAAAACGCACAGATGGTTTATTGGATCTGAATCGTGTCGCGGTCATGGGTTGGTCATATGGTGGATATCTGTCATTGCTTTGTCTAGCTAAAAACCCTAATGTATACAGAGCAGCAATTGTTGGCGCTGCAGTTTCATGCTGGAGGCTTTATGATACAGCCTATACAGAGCGTTTCTTGGGTTTGCCGTCTGATCCTATTTATAAGGAGTCTTCAGTTTTAAATTATGTGAATCAGTTACCAAATGAGTTAGTGTCTTACGAATATTAAGATAATCGTCTGCATTGCTTCATTCTTAAAATTTTTTGATTTTGGAGATTGACTAATTTTCAAGTTATCTTTATAAATCCTCAATTTGTGAAAAGGAATTTTACATCTGCTGGCTGTTTGAAGCATAGACTTAATGATCATAAGATTTCTAATTAATGTTCGAGTACATAATTTTAATTTGTATTCAGAATGTGTGTAATCTTGAAACTAAGTCTAAAGTTTCATATTTTTTAGAGTTGATCGCTTGCTGATTGTTCATGGTTTGATCGATGAAAATGTGCACTTTTCTCACACTGAACGTCTTGTTGAAGCATTAATTGCAGCCGGGAAGCCTTATCGTTTACAGGTTATTACGTTAAAGAAATGTAAATTTAAATTTTGATATTTCAATGTGAGTGTAGTGCTAAAGTTATTCAGTTACGTTTTTAATCGAAGTACAGTAAACAGAAAGTTCCGATCAAGGCAGAAATATATGATAAGAGTGTCGCACAAGTCAAAAAATAAATGTGTGATATGAGCTTTTGTTTGATAATTGCAGATTTTTCCATCAGAACGTCATGGTATACGGTCTGTCGAGGCTAATGAATTTCACGATGCTTCCATGTTGTCATTCTTATATCGTGCTCTTAGTGTTGATCATCCACATCACTGTGTAGAAAAATAATTGTATTCTAAACTGATTATTGTTATATGAACAAGTGTATCTCGCAATATTCGTGTGGTTTATTTCGTTATATCTGTGAAGATAGTCATGAGTTTTTGAATTGCGTCGTTTGTTATCTAATTTATGATGTGTTGAAAAAGTACTGTGAACTATTGGTTTACTTTGAAAGACATTCTCACAGCATTGATGTATTGTATGAACTATTGAGCATGTCATTCGGATTTGTTGCGGTGTTTTTATTTTTACTTCTTATGAGACATGATTGCCTTGGTTCAAACGTATTTCTAAATATGGGTTCGTCTATTTTCGTTTTTTGCATTAATACACCGCGATATGCTTGTACTGCATTTTTTAGTAAATATTTGGTATCACGTTGAATACGTATAACACACAAATTAAAAATATTGAGTAAAAATATGTGTTGTGTATGCTACAAGTGTTGCTTCGTGTGACTTATGAAAACAACACGATCCATAACCGTAGTCGTTTGTCATACCAACGTCTCATATTTCCTTTTGAAAAGTTTTCAGTTCGCTATGACTGTCTGTGTTCAATGCATAACTAGTTCTTTCGATTCTTAGTATGTTTCAGTATCTTCAAACTAGTCCTGCATAAATTTGACCGACTGCATAGTGTTATCAAGCAGTTCAGTCATGTTGTAAGTATGTTTGTCTCTGATGTGAAGTCCACACTTGCAGAGGAGTTCAACTAGAATAGTCATAACTGACGGTAACATGTGTGTGGTTCTTATCACTTTACATCGGTGAGGCGACATTTGTGTACTCTTTACATTAGGATGCAAGTTGATAAATATTTCATGCGTTAAATCAAATGGGAGGCCTTGCACTTAGTTTTATTGTATCTGTTAATTGCTTCGCTTCACTGTCATTATCAGTAATTAGTGACTAATGTGAGATATGTTTTCAAATATATGCGTTACTGAACCGTGTTTCACATGTGCTAGGTAATGTTGTGCATATGTGCTCCTTCTAAACCTTTGACTGCCACATGAATAGGAGATTGAACTATCGTGTGTAGTTATGGGAGGCTTATTCGGAAATGTCCAAGTCATTGCTGAGATTAAGTTTAAACTGCTCTAGATTTATTTTAGAATTTCTGTAAGTCTAATCAAGTGCATTCATAGATTTTTGTGCACAGCAGAAATCTTTTAACACAAGCAACGAAGATTGATTTTGTAGACGTGAAGGTATGATTATTTTAGTATTAAGGTTGCGCACAATAAAAACTCAACCTTAATTGAAATTAAGCATATAGAAGCAAATGATCTTATCCGCATTAAGTTGATAAAAGTGCGTGGAGTTGTTTCGGCTGTATCAGAAGATATATTTTTTTAATCAAAGGAATTCAGCCACTGAAGTTTGAAGATTGCTTTTCGCGTTTTTTGTTGGTTTATACGTGATTTATAATGAACGATGAACTGTTTAATATTGTAATATCAATAAACCACAATGTTTTATGATGTTTCAGATTAATCTTGCGAATTGATATTGAGAAAGATGTCTTCCAATACATCTCGACCTGCTTCGCAGCTAGGGATTACTACCGAGAATCCTACTTCATCCCCACTGTCAGAAAATAAACCTGACGATGATATGGAAAAAGCAAAGCAGTGGACTTATTACATTGAAACACTTAATCGTACAATTGATTGTATATATGAAATATGCCTCAAAGAGCATACAGTTAGCGGATGTAAAGTGAGCAGCATTATTTTGATATATTAAATTTTTAAGTAAACAAAGTAAGATGAAACATACCTGTCACTATGGTAGTCAGTCAACAGTATTTGTAACACTTTCTTTTTTAACTACAAGTTATCATATTATTTTGTCATTTTCAAGATAAAAGGAAGCTTATAGGTGTTGAAACTGTCTAAAATTACTTCTCTTCCACTTCTGTTTCATTTTTTTAGGAAGCTTTGTTATATCTTTCGAGTTCTGTCCGTGATTTTGAATCACTTATCAAAGCTATTGAATTGGAGGTCGCTTGGGAAGAAGAAGGCAATAAGTATATCTAATTCTAAATTAACTTCTTCAATTTTAATAGTACTAAAGATATCACTTGGATTTCATGAAATTAGTGATTTAGATACAACTGCCTATAACTAGGATACCGAGATTTTGGTTTTGCAGTTGAGTCTATCTAAATCTAAAATTACTCCTTACAGTACTATTCATTTTATAGACGTCATGCAGTTGCATGGGAAATTCGTAAAGGAATAACACCAACCGGAAAACCAAAAGTTGAAGGGCCGAAGAAGAAAGATGCAGATTCACTCATTACTATGCTCAGGCTGTTAGTTTACAGTTTTATTATTATTCAGTTGACCTATACGTTGTCTCGAATGTGTGATAAAAACAATGAATCCTAATTTTTTAGTTTAAAATGTCATATATTAGTGAGTTAGGAGTTCTATATGCATTCTGAGTTTGAGTTCTTTTATATATTCGTGTAAACTAGAAAATATTTTTATTTAGTTATAGTCTCGAAAAAAATATATCCAGCATGAACTTGGGCGTATCATAAGTAAATACACCACGTTTATATTAAAGTTTCATAAGTGAAACTTCATTCAACAATTTACTCAGTTCATTTCCGTCACAAAGAGAAAATACCTTACTTTTTAATAATTTCATATTACAAACTTGTTTTCAAAAGAACTAAGCAACATAGATTTATAAAAATCATACTGAATATTTTTTAACTTTATAGCTTTAAAAAAGTGCGCTAGGGTTAAAAGTTTTTCTTATAATAGCAAATATTGTAATCTGCGATTAATCTTACAACATAATCTAAGTTTCATTCGCGCAACTAGTATTAACAGTTCTTTAGTGTTGCTTTGCACCTCAGACTAATGTCTTGATTGTCTAATTAATAACAATTTACTTCAACTATAACTTACTTCAGCTTTAATTTTCCATCCATTTCCCATATTTTAATTTTATTGTTTTCAGTCTTTATGATCATTTTTTTCCAACCATTTTTGATTATTTGAAACTCTTTTTCTTTCTTTTTGTAATGACTGCTTCGATTTCGTTGTGCATTCTTGTTTAACAGCCATGGCAATCAAATTATCTGACTTCAAACTTCGCTTTTGATTGCGTTCTAGATCTAAATTCTCACTCAACTGAAATCTGTCTTCTGCATTTTTTATCATTTAATTTTTGACTACTTCTTTAAAAAGTGCCCAATTTAATGGTATTTTTTAAAAATCGAAATATTCATTATTGCTGATATAATTTTCGTTTTTTGATCCGAAAAATTGCTTTGTAAAGGTTGACAACACAAAAATGGACAGTCTGTATTGCCCTATACAATAAATATGAGCTCATTTTGCTTGTGAAGAGGGCAAAAGCAGCATGTTACAAGCTAACAATGTTTGTATCATTGCTGAACTGATTTTTTCAAGTTTGAGTGGTAAGTGCTGACAAATACATATGCTTTGCTATTTTTTGTCCCATAACATTATTTTCTTCGCAAAATGCTACTACTGTCTGTAATGGCATATTTTCAAAAATTTGTTCTCCTAAATAGCAAGCTTTTTTAACTTTATAAAGTAGCAGTCTTCTGAAGCTACTATCTGTCAGCATTTCGTGCTTGAAATTTTCTTGAACCTTCAGTAAAAGTCGATTTTTTGTTAGTAATTATATATCTTTTGAAAACTTGCTGAGAGTTAATTGTTAAGTAATATGTTTTCCAAACTTAATTTTTTAACGAGTACTCAAAGCGAAAAATAATAGTTTCAATGTGCTAGTTTGAATTCAAATACTTTTATTTAAGTACTGATCTGTGCTGCAACATGCATTTGATTTTTATAATTATAATATGCTCATTGCTGAACTGAAAAACAAATTCATCACCCTTATCAAAACAATAGTGGATGGATGAATAATGAAATAATTTTAGACAATAAAGAAGCAGTAATTGAAGAACATTTGTATGAATGGATTCAAAAAAATGAAATATGAGATTTTGTAAGCTAAAATATATGACATAAAAATACATTAATTTGAATTTAAAATATGCGAAAAGTTCAACAAAAATTGTGCAGAAAACAAAGAGGCTTATTGAAGATAAAGAACTGTTGTCTAAAAAGAGTGAATCAAACAGATTTCAAAAAATTTGTTTGTTTTTGTTTTTCGATTTTTTAAGCAAACTAATCTTTTTGTGCAAAAAGCATTTTAACTAATATTTTAGAGCAGTTTTTATATAACGATCGAATTTGTCGAAAGGATTGACGTACGTGTGAATAATTAAAACTTTTCGTGCAATATCTGATTTTTTTTAATTTTTAAATCTTTCATTTATCAAGTAATTCGCTCCTCATCTTTCATTTGTGCTGTGAGTAATGTCTGGTTTTAAGTGAGATAAATTTTACTGAGATTAGTTTGCTTATAGGTCACCTATGGTTGTACAGGGAGTTGTACAGAATACCGAAAAAAGACTTATCTCTAATGTAGTGCAGCCAGCTTCTGAGGTGGTTAATGTGCGTCACAGCCAAGCTTCAGATAAAGAAAGTCTGAAAAAAAGTACAGGGATGAGTGAGTTTTGTCATGATATTCATTCAGTTAATGCTGTTTAATGTAATATTTAACTCTCATGTTAATTAATGAAAATTGTTGCGTTGATGCTGTTAAATACCTGTGTTGTGTTTTAGTTCTACAAATTTATCATATTCAGATATGCAACTTTCACTTTACTTTTATTTCGTATAAATAATAGGAAATTGGAAATCGAAATTGAATCATTCTGCTTATAGACATTATATTATGCGTGGAAATATTTGCATCACTTCCAGTTTTCTTATGAGACATTTGCATTTTAGTAATTTTAGGACACTGAATATAAAATATTGAACAAGTTTCAATTACTAATTGTAGTTAAGATTAATAAATATTATTTAAATAATTTGGTAAATATGTTTAAAATTTAACAAATTATTTAAAATTTAAAATTCTTCGTTCTGAAATTTCACAAATTATTTAAAATTTTACAAATCACTCTTGATTTTATATATTTATGGCTGTTTGTTTTCAATCTAATGATTTATTTTCAACCAGTAGCTTCTGTAGAAGACGTACACGAAGATAACGGATGGTGCTTAGTAACAGCACGACAAAAGCGGCGAAAAAGCATAGAAATAGATTCTGCCGTAGTTAGTCATAATACAAAAAAGAAAGGAAACAATATTCAAGGAAGGGTAATAATGATTCTGGATTAATTCTTCCCTTCAAAATGTTATTATGAAGTATTAAAGTGAAATGCATATTAAAATTGAGTGGCAATAAATGCAATCGTAGCCTTTGCATAGAAAGATGCATTTTAAGTGCTATATTTGTTATCTGTTAACCCGTAAATTTTAGTATTATCTAATCACTATTATAGTATGTATGATTGTTGTGGGATTTTTAAGTTTGATACAGGCAACGCAGAAAAAAAATCTAATGAATGTTTACGAACGTTTAACTAGTGGCGTTCTTCGACCTCCAAATATGTCATCTCGTGCTCCTCTTCTTTCTGATTCAGGTGGAAGAGGTTTGATGTATCCTCGATGTGCGATGGATTTGCCACAAACTAAGGCAAACTGTTTTTTATTTAGTTATGTCATGCAATTACTGTATTTATAATGGTTGATTTTTGAAAAGTAATTAATTCCGAGATCAAATAATATTAAAGGCTTCAATGGCAAAAATGGCTTATTGTCGCCAGCTGTTGTGGAAAAAGCACCAGTCTCATTTAGCGGAAAAATTGCAACGGAAACGTCGACAGGACTTGATAGATGCTCGTAGAGTTGGCTCTTTGCCTATTCTTTCAGCGATCAATTTTGCTGATCCAATTGCTGTTTCTTGTACTGCAGCCGCGTTTAGAAATCGAAAGGTACTTCATTTCTTTTTTTTGCACTGTTGGAGTCACTCGCGCTCTATCTCATTCCGCTCCTTTACTTCACTTTCTTTATTGATTTTTGAGGTGCACTTTACACCATTTGTGATTGTATAATTCTGATTATGTGTTTAGAATCATCAGTTCCGTAGAAGATTGAATAAAGATAATACTGTAGTAACAATGAACGAGGCTACACCGGAAAGAAGCTTCGACCGTATAGAGGTCAAATTTTGAATTATTCTTGTCTTTTTTTTGAAATTTTTGATCATTGATATAGATATATATAAATTAGTTTTGATTTGGTTTTTACAGGAATTGCCATCAGAAAACGACGAGAATAATGAAATTGCTTCTTCTAATTTAGATGAATCAGTTGTTAAAGATCTATTACCAAATACTAATATTCAAAGCAGGTAATTTGATAATTTAATAATTATCCATGTGTATATCGAAGTAAAAAGCTTTTTTAAATTGCTTGTGTGATGTAAATTAAATTTTTTAGATCAGAACCTCCGTTGTCGCACTTAGAGTTACCAGATGGTATCGATGCAGATGACGCATGGAGAGCAATGACTGAAGAGGAGGAATCATTAGCACAAGAAGAACAAAGTTTAAAAAAAGAGATTGCAGAGGTATCGTGATAATTTCAGTGAAATCTGGATCATAATTAATTCACCACTTTTGCAATGCTGCAGTAAGCAGAGCTATGGCTCTGTAAATACTTTGTACATTTTTTGAACCCAAAGTTTACTGATTTGAAGGTAAATTTGTTTCACCTAATATACATTATGCTTAGGAGGAAAGAATTTCTATTGATGATGAACTGGAACGACAAGTAGCTGCTGAAGCTGCAGCGTTGGAACAAATGGAAATTGAAGAGGCTAAAAAAGTTTTTTTTTTTTGGTTTTCTAGTGTCGTTATAACGATTCATAAGCTACTAGTGCAAGATTTCGCGAAAAAAATACTTCAAGAGTTATATTTTGCTAAGAGTGAATGATCTAACCAGAAAAGTAACCATGTTCTCAAAAATTTAGATCTGCGGAAAATTTGTTTTCTTTTAGTAGTATTTTCAGCAAAAACCTGATGCTAGTGAACTTGGAAAATCTGTCAGGAAGCCGCCTGTTACATGGGAAGATGTCGTTAACAATTGGAAACGTTTGTTTCATTGCAACTATAACCGTAATTTTTGTTTCAGTCATGTTTTGCTCGAATAGCTTTTTACAAATTGCAGTGGAAATGGAGGAGTATGCATCGGTAAGTTGGGGAGAAATAGTAGAACGAGAAATAACACGTTATCGTAAACCGGGAGAATTTGTTGAAAAGCATGAAAAGTTGTCTTCACCTAGCAGAAAAAGGTAATGAGTCATTGAAAACTGAAGCGCAGGCGAGGTAGAATATCAAATTATTTATACTAATAATATTCTGTATCAGTTTTCTACACTGATGTATTTTCATTAAAGAAACATGGAAACCGCTACAAAACGACAAGAGGAGCGGCAAAAAAGAGCTGAAGAATTGCGTCAGACATTACAAGACGAAAAAGCTCGACGATTGAAAGAACTTTCCAACAAAGTTTGCACATACTTTTTCGTTCAAGTTTGCGTACATTTTTTTGATCTTTACTGCATAAGCTGATATTGTAGGTAGAAGAAGTTAAACGGAAGCGTTCTGAATTAAATGAGAGAAAACGTGATCATTTGCAAATGCGGATGATGAAAGCGGAAGAGAATCGACAAAAGAACATTGATGAAAAAGTGAAAAAAGCTCGCGATGATGATGTTAAGGTGTTTATTTCATGTTCGTTGTAGTATCACTCATGTTATATGATTCCAGCAAGCTTATTCTAAATATCATTTGTAATTCTCAGTGCTTCATAGAGAAATGGAATGATTATAATTATTTTAGAATATAAACAAATCTGTGTTCAATTCTTCTTTGTTGCGTAGTAGCTTGTAACAAATCCATTTGCTAATGAAACTTTAATCCGTGGATAATTGATGTTTATTTTTTGATGTGAAATTTTGAATTACATTTTTTAGGTGATGGAAGTACAGTTTATCAATACAATAGAGGCAGATAATATGCGGCATGATGTCATGGTTCGTAATCAAGAATGGAAGCAAAGAGCTCAAACAATTGCGAATAAACGAGCTAGAAAAAGTAAAGAAAAAGCAGCTAAGGAAGCTGCAGCCGAAGAGCGCAGGAAAATCGCAGAAAATGTATTGCTTTTTTGTATTACGTTGGTGAATCTAGCTACTTGATCAATGTTCTTACATCTTCATTCTTTCTTACAGCAGAGAATAGAAAAGATACGCGAAAAATTTGAAAAACAGGAATTAATTGAAGCACAACGTAATGAACAAGAAAAAGAGAGGACTGAAGCTGCTCGAGAACGAAACAAGTATTATCTTTTGCAAAAATATTTTTATATTTTCTTTTGCAAAAAAAATATTTCTGTAATATCCATTATTTTTCAGTTTTTCTGTCATATCTGTTTAAAAAAATTTCCAGGGCACTGAATGAGCGTGTTGCCGAAAAGAAGGCGTCGGAAGCTGTTGAAAGTGAGAAGTTATTAAAGAAAATCCAGAAAAAGGTAATTTAGCTTTTGGGCTGTAATGTTTATATGATTGGATATAAACTTTCGTTTGTCTAAATGTTGTGAGGAGTAAAAAACGTGGTAAGATCCGAAAATACCATATCAATACAGTTAATATATGCCAGTTTTCTTGGAAGCATCAACAGACGGGTCCATTATCAAAGCAGAATGTAAATTGAACCAATTTTTGAAAGAAAAGGAAATAGTGTTAGGACGTTTTTTTTGTTTTAAAATATGGCTACAACAACAACAAAAAATCGTTAAAAATTTAGCTTTTTTCAGCAAGAAGAGACACGTCGTCGTTATGAAAATACTCTAAATAAAGTAAAGCATCGTGCTGTTGAACTGAGTAGTCCTAGACCAGTGGAGCCAGTAGCATCTTTAGCTGATTTTATTCACATGCCTTCAAATACTCTTTACTGTGCCGTATTCGAAGATGAAAATGATGGTCGATGTTCGAAAAAGTGCAAGCTTTGTGATGCAATCGTAAGTTCTTCTACTACTTTTTGAAAATACTTTGAATTCTTTTGGAGGTTGGAAAAAATTTCTGAAGATGCTATTGTAGCATCAGTTGTGTACTATTAATCATGCATAAGCTTTCTTAATTTTATGAACATTTCGGGAATATTCACCAAGAATTTCTCGTCATAGTCTTGGTTTTCTCATAGTTTTAAATGCTTTAATTTTCTATATAACAATTCTGTGTAGGAAATCAGTTGATGAATTTATTTGCGAGTTGTTTCAGCTGGACAGTGACTTTTTGATTATTTCACATTTCTTAAGCGCTTCGCATCTCTCGAAAGCTAATATTGATATCAAAAAACTAACATGCGATTGTTTGGTATGTATTTTTTTTCTTTGTTTTTCAAACACTTTATTTATAGGTTATTTTGAGTGTCGTAGGAAGTGAATAAACTTCACATTTGTTTTCAAGACTTCAAGATCTGAGGACTATACAAATTCTCATTTTCAATGCATTTTATAGAAAGCGGAGATTGAACAAAACGTTGAAGAAATTAATGTTGAAACAAATAAGAAGTCTACATTAGAAGAAGAAAGTGAATATTCAAAACTCAGTTCAAATGCCAAAAAACGACGAACTCGTCTTCGGCAAAAAATCCAGGCGAAGTATAATCCATTTCTTTCGTAAATCTTCTTAAATATAATATATTGATTATTCATATAAAACGTGCAAGAGTCGAGTGAGTTTCGTTTGCAGAATCAAAGAATATGAAAAATTGATTCAAAAGAGCAGCATAAATGAAGTTTATTATACTCCAAACGAAAAAACGAGGTATTTCATATTTTATTTGTACTGTTTTATTACATGTAGGAAACATATGGATATGGCTCTATAATGACGCACTTATGATAAAAATTTAATATCAATTTTACTAGTATTGATCGGTCTCTTCGAGATATCGTTAAAGTGCTAAAGACAACAGTAGGCGAGCATGCAGTAAAGAATTTTTGTAACGGATTGGGAAAAGATACATTTCAAGGGAAAATTTATCCAGGCGCTGATTTGCATACTCTTGAAAGATCTTTGTCTGAAATCCTTCGTACTTTGCGAGCAACCGAAATGGTATCTTATATTTGTTTATTCTTTTTTCGATTTTTTTTTCATTTTAATATTACACAGTTAAAGTTGTTGATCTAGTTTAACAAAATTTGCCGAATCATTTTTGCTGTTTTTAGTTCATCATTTGTTTTGGATTTTAGGCTAAGCAGCGTGACATAATTTTAAAAGCGATAGTACAGAATAATCTTGTAGACTATTTGGCAGCTTTAGTTTCATGTTCAACTGAAGGTGACACAGTTACACCGTCAAGGTTCCGAATAATATTTAATCATTTTATTAAAGACATTCCTATCAAATTTTTTCTCGTATTTTCAAAAATTCTTCTTTCCTACAGCACTCTATTCTTTGACGTTATGGTCTAGGAGTTCATGTGAAAAATTCAGCTCCGTTAGTAATTCATAACTGTCTATATTGATTTCGGAATTCTACTGTATCAACATTTCGCTCAATTTAAATCTTTCTGAGAATTTATTTTAATATAACGTTGTGTGTATAATTTGCAGAACATTCTGTAAAGCAGTGACAACTTTGGGAGAACTTTTCAATAGAGACAAGTATATAGCGTCCAGGTTTCTATTTTCGAACCGCGTTCTGGTGCTTCTAGATACATATATGATCAAATCTAAAGTAACTTTATTATTTTTTATCTATTGCTGTTTTTTCATGTTTTCTCTTAATGTATCCGTTAAGTTTTTGAATGATTTTCTCCATAGACACAAATTAAAAAATTATTCCTTAGTTTTATTGGCTATTTATAGTATATGATTCGAATTTCACCTGCTTTTATCTCTATCAAAAATTTTCAAGATATTTCCTTCGGATAATGTTTGTTTCGCAGTTGTTAGTGTCGCAAATTGCGAACAGTTCTTCACGAGCAACTTTTGATGGATCTCACAGACTTCTAATTGAATGCATGGGTGTGTGTTCAACTGTTTTGTGTATGGTGGGTTCCTTGTATCCAAAAACCAAGGATACTAATTCAAGAACCGCTGCTGTATTTGGCATCACAGATGATGACATTTACTTCAAGTTGTTGTTAAGGTTTTGATTTTGATTATTTTTATTCAGTTGAGTATACAATTTTTTTTTCTGTAGAAAAAAACAAAAAAATTATTAAGGAGAACTTGAAATTTATTCATCAATTTTTCTTAACTAAATGCGACTCTCAATACCAGTTATTTTGGCTCTCCGTAGGTGAAAGCGGTAATCCACACTTTCAAAATTTCCAGTACTAGAAATGTTTTTAAATGTCATTTTATTTTTTGACAGTCATTTAATTCTAACTATTAAAAAAACATGAATCTAGCTACAACATATGGAATGAAATTTATAAGGATCTTTTTTTACATCCATTACTTTTGGGTTAAATTTTTTTCATTTGTTTAGCTTCTTTTTCTGTATATTTATTTTACTTTATATAGTTTTAATTTGCGAATTTAGACTTTTAAATTTTCAGTTTTCTTCAATCAAATGGGTTTAGTGAAGTCGTAATGTTGCTCATTAAACACTCAGGTACAAATGCGGTATTGCCTTGGTCTGTTGAGCTCGATTCAAGTGGAGTTGCAGTACCTATTGTCGTATACATAGATTTACTTTTAGAAATGGGTGAATTGATGCGTAATTTTGATCACAATAAAAGGTTTTTGAATTTTTTCATGAAGTAAGGCTCTATGGACTGTGGTGTTTTATACAAAGCAATTGTTGACTTTTTTGATTTATTGATCATTGTGGTCAATCATTTATGATTTTATTAAAGTTGCAAAAAATTGTTATCGTTCATCTATCAACATAAAGTAATGTTCTTATCAATTTTCAGAGACGGCGTAATAGGTACTGAAAAATCATCGGTTGTGATGTAAGTTCATTATATGTTGCTTCGTCACCTATTTTCTTTTTCAAGTCGGGTCAGTATTTAGCTGAATTAAAATGTTTCGTTTTCTTCTTTGCAGTGCTATAATTGTGATGGCAGTACAAGAACTATCGATACGAATGTATTCGATGATTTTATCAGGAGGTAGTTCTTCCAAAATAGCGATATTGTATACTAAGTCTGGAATCAATTGCCGCGACGAAGTTGAAGTGATACAGCTGCTGGCTTCATGTCTATTCCAGCTTTGGCTATTACTTTGGAAATATGAACCATCGGAGGCCAAAGTATATTTTTTGTTGAAAATCTTTATGTTCCTTACAGTGTTATTATTTGCACAATTAGTTCATATTATAGTAATTGATTTTCATGGTTCGTGTTTTCCTGATGTACGTAATGAGTTTTTGGAACAAATTGCGCCCTTTGGAAAATGTGTTTTGGAAACATATCTTTATCATTTTAAGAGCCTACTGTATTTTGTGAAATGAAAGAAATTTTTTAGCACCCGTTTTTTGTAGAAATGTCTTGATGATACTGAACTTTGTTTACGATTGGTACTTATTTCCACAGCTTTGGTAATGCAATATGAAAAAAATATTTCTTCCATTATCGCATCGACTGATTTAAGTGCTTCGGAAAAGCGCGTCAGAAATTTTCTTCATTTTCTTATTGAGGTTGTTGGATACTTTGCAATCAGTAGTGAACAAGCTAAGGTTCATTCTTCATTTTAATAATCGAAGAATCTTTTATATTCATTTGGAAAAGAGCATCTGCTTATATGATTTCAGTAAATCTTTTGTAATACCTTGTTTAAGGTTTCAAGGGCATTATAAATGAGTATTTCTGTGAATTTGTCAAAGAATGTTGCATAAATTTGGCATTTTTGTGTTTTCAAGGTTAGAAAACTTGTGTAGACTTGCATGAGGTATAATTCAAATAATTATGTAAAGAGATTTTGGAAGATGTAAAAGAGGTTTATAAAATAACAATTGTTTTGTGAATCAAATTATACGTTATTGCTTGTTTCTGATCAACAATTACCCCGTTCAATAATTAATGCTTGAGTTTTTTTTAGATGTTTTGTGTATTTGGCTGGCAACGGTCGCTGTTAATGAAACTTGCTTCTATGCCACTGGGATATTTTTCAAATAATAGTTTAATGTCAATATTGATGCCAACTTTGATTGCTATTTGTTATAAAAATCCGTTAGCAATTGATTTGATTAAACCTTCACTGGGTGTTAAAACTTTCGTGGAATATCTTGAGGTCAGTTGCTAATTTTAAGAAGTCAATTATTGACACATGTTTTTCAGATATTTAGTGAACAAAAATTAACTTCAGTTTCCAAAAGTGAAGGCAAATGAAGGTAATCTTTTTGTATGAATGACGTAAGTTAAATAGGAAAGATTACAAATAAGACGAAAGTTACATATTTTATTGCTTCAGTACACCAATAACTTATGAATAGAATTACTGGCTATTCAACTTTCTAAGGAATTTGAATTCTTGAATTTCGAAGTTTCATTTAAATTTCTTTTTTTAAGAATGTATTTAGTGGAAGTAGCTAGAAAAATGAAAGTACAGACCGCCGAACTGGTTGATATAGAATTAAATAGTCAAGGTATATTATGAGCAAACTTAACGAGAATATTTTTGAACAAAGAATATGTTTATCTCTTATATCCAAGTAATAGTTCCCATTTTTAACATATTTAGAAGGCGAAACACTTTTTGGTTTAGTTTTAAATATTTCTTGATGACACTCAGGTAAAGTTGTGCCTTTTGCTCGGGTGTATTATCGTAGAAAATATGATTTCACTGTAGTTATTGTATTTATTTGAAAAGAAAAAAAATTGTTTCAGGGGGCTCAAAATGAGAGGTTTCCAGAGCCAGCACGGTTTCCAAGAAAGTTGTGGTCGGATGCTATTGATTATTTTCAAAAATGTGAGCATATTTAAAACTAATTTTTCCCATGATACTAATTTTTCCCATGAGTCATGATCATGACTCACAAACGCATCTGTTATTGATTTTATAGGCTTTACAACGAATACAGCAGTCTGCTCGGAAACATTTTGACTTGTTTCTATTTCTCATTCATTTATTGGTTTCATAGAATTTTGTTTTCATTGTTAATATCATTTTTAGGAAGTGACACTTGCTTGAAAATGATGAAAATAAGGTTTATTCGTGTACAATTGCTCTGTTCGCTGAGTTTTTTGAAAATTTTCATTCTTGTTTATCTTTGACTTGTATATTGACTTATGTGGGACGATTTTCTTTCAGATTAAAAAACAATTCTCAAGAATTAGCGCTAAATCAAAGAGTAAGAGATGTCTTCTAAATTCAGTTCTTGTGATATTTATGCTGTAGAAAATACTCGAAATATTTGAAACATGTTAATGGTTGCTGTCCGGTAGAAATATACTAGAGTAGATTAAAATTTACTTTGTCGATGTTGTTGAATTATATCATGTTCTTATTAATACTTAGTTATAGATTTCAGTGTTATGGTGCCTGAAATAAGAAAATCGTCCAACATAAATTATTGTTTCCCATGTTATGAATATGAGCATACTAGTTTTAAAACTTGTGAAATTTATTTGGATGTGGGAAATGATTTCAATTCGATGATTAACATATTTCTCACGTTCGTATTGAATACGTGAAAATAAATTACGGTTAATCTTTCAGTTCAAACTGGAAAAATTTCATTCGTATGAAATGTTGTACGAATTGCGATGCGAATTCTTATCAATTTTAACTCGTGTTGTCTATTGCTGTTATTAAGCTTTTGACTGAGTACTCATGACGATTAATGGTATTGAAGTTATCAGGTTTTTGCATGTGGGACAGTGGATTTTTGGACATTGCTGAAATCCAACATCACAAGCATGATATTCAGTGGATCAAGTCATTTCGACGTTCAACAGTGCTTAGTAGTTTTAGCTCGTACATAAATCATTATGAAGTACATCAACTACGCTTGTTCATGCACTCAATATTGGAAGCTATCTTAGAGAACTGCAAATGCGATGAAAACTTTGAAATTAATGTGGAGGAGAGGGAACGACGTAAATTGCTGTTGCAGTGTCTTGTGAATACAGCTAATCACTCACCAAAGCTAGTCTTTGCATTATTATTAAAGTGAAGGTTTGAGTGACCGAGATCCGAAATTAAGGTCTTTCATATCTTAACTGTACAAATTGGTTTATATCTGAAAATAATTGTTGACCATAGTAGGGACACAAGTAATATCAAGTTTAATGCGTAATTTCATTTTTCTTTCTAGCCTAAGTATTTTCTCATTTCGTTCATCCCATTCTGATTTTTACGTAATGATACTTGAATTATTTGGTTCATAACATAGTCCTTGTAAATTTATGCAAAAAGTTTACTCGTATTTATCCGTGCTGTTTTTTCACAATAAAATTACTTTTACAGACTTCGTTCATGTGCTGACGAATTTTCGGACAGTTGTCTAAAAGTAATGCTAAGATGGTACTGGCTACGCAACGAGTCATTGGCTGCTGTAATCAGTTTTTCAAAGCCCGAGAATGGAGGTTTCTTTGTTAAATAAATCGGACTTAAAAATTTCCACTTTTATTCAGTCTTGTGCTTTATATTAACATACAATCTGTAGTTTCTGTTCATGATTTTTTTGAGTCATTTTTATGCAAAATAAAAAATTAAATTTTCGTTAGTTAATGAAATATTTGCAGAAATGCATTATAAAATTGTGTATGAGTGCTGCGTTCTATGGAATGAAGTTTGCCATGTAATTAAAAAGTATGTGTTTTAATTGTTTTCTTTATAATAAGCAGATAAAACTTTATTTTTTATCTTTGAGATTTAGTTTTCATTAAAGCAAAATGTTAATTTTAATATTTTATTTTAGATTGGAAGGTAATGAAGTAAATTCTATATCAAAGTTTAGTGCTGAATCTGGAATAAGTGAAAACAATGTGCAAGAAGCATATGAAACACGGTTTTTTTTATCATATTAAGGTTTCAGCAAGAATTTTGTAATGCGTTTTTAATAAGTCACTGAAAAATACAAAAAAAAAAGAGGGATTATGAATGCTACAATATATTTTTTAAAGCATATTTACTCTCTTGAACAACTCAAATAGTAATATATGTGTTTATTTTCGATAGTACTTGCAGATCTTGGTTGATAGCAATATTTTCAAAATTTTTGGAAGATAATGAAAGTTTTTTCTCTGTCTGTTGTGAAAATATGGAGTCGTGCTCACTTGATACATTTATTGATATTCTTGATACTGTGATAGAATTTGGCGAAGAAGGGTCAGGTGTCAAAGTTAGTTTTTTAATAATATACACTTTCGCAACTTTTTTGTTGTCCAAATAGAAATTTTTGCTTAAGATCTTTTCTTGAAAATATAGGTTGATTTTCTAAACTATTATCTATTCCGCGAATAATTGAGAAATATGTTTTTATTATCAGTCCTTGTGGCTTCTATCGTATATTTTAGCTTGCTATTGGAAACGTGAAGTATGTCTTGTCATTTTTGGAAAGAGCATTGAAAATTTTTGGTCCACTTGAATATATTGAAACAGAAATTGAAGAGGATGAAAATTTCAACTCCAATGATATTGTTCGCATATGTATCCTTCTGGAAATCATTTTAAAATTGGCATCGTTAGATTCTTATCGCACAGTTTATGTAGCAGATACAACAGCACTGAAATTGGTCCTTCATGTCTTGGAAGGAGTGTGTTTTCTTTCATTTCATGTTTCTAAAAGCGCCAAGTAAAAGTTAATATTTTCTTTTAAAGGGAAAGGTGATCATACAGCGAATCAAGATACTTCATATTTTGAATGAAATTCTTATACTGTAGTTGCTGCTTTCCATTACACGTTGATAATCGTTGATTTAGTAAGATATATGACAAAGTTATAATTTATTCTCCATTTTTAAGTTTTCAGATTTTGCATTATGAGTACTGCAAACAGCAAGGATGCAAAGGAAATTTGAAATCTGAAGATAAATTTGCAAGTCGGCCTGAAATAAATTTGACAGTAAGGAATGCTTCTAATGTAAACTGCATCCGACGTTTCGGTGAATATTTAAGGTAACTGTTTTCATGTTAGCCTGGTATTTATTCCCAAACTTCTCGTCTTCATTGTGTCATCCTTATCATCATTTAGATTTAATGAATGAAACATTTAATTTAATAATTTATTCCAGTTCTGCAAATGATTTAATCGGTGTTCTATAAAATTACAGACCTGACGCATAAAGTTCTTATAATGCTCTCCATTTTAAATATTTATGTTTTTTCTTAATTCACTGTTTTAAGTAAATGCATTACTTCAATTTGGTATATTAGGAAATATGAGAACACGAAGTTGATTGCAACTATAAAAATGTCTTCTTTGGAGTTATTAGGCATTCTTTGTTATCTCAATGATTTGAATCGTGAATACGCTGGAATTCATGATGGCATAACATTACTTCTTCGTTGTATGTATACATGCGATAACCATGATCAATTTGGGGTTAGTTACCATTTGAACTTTATTTTTTTCTAGCCTATAGTAACTCTTCATTTTAGTTTTTTTCTGCTTGTATTTTCAAGAATAAAAAGTTATTTATTGAGTGGATACAAGGAATTATTTTCAGAGACTTTATGCAATTGCTGCTTTGCGACATTTAGTTTTAGGTTATGCACCAAATCAACTGCGATTAGCACAACTTGCTCAGGTTTTATTATCCCCGTATTTTTTCTCCAATTTTTCGCTCTCTGTATTCTGCTTATGTTATGATTCAAGCTATTATTGATTCTCCCTTAAGATTATATATTTACGTGGGAGTTATACAGCTTGATTTATTTCTTTCTCTATTGATAGGAACCATCAGCGGTAATTGATCGAGATGGTTTACTAAAAGAATTGGGCCTACGTGCTGTGTACGATCGGAAAGCGAAGAAGATTCGGCTAGAATCAATAGCAAAATAAACAGAAATGTTATGTATTGGAAAGCGACAGAAAAAGGATTTCAGGTATAGTTAAGCAATAGCACAGCCAGCTCTTGTGTCAAAATCTTAATAACATCATCCTATCGGTTTTTTGCATACATATGTCTATTTATGAAATCAGTAGTTGCAGAAAATGTATGAAAATTATTTGTAACTTTAGATATGTATTAATTAAAGAATTAGTTATTAGTTTTCGTTACTCTTTCTAAAAAATGCGATAGATTGTGTGCTCTTTGTGTGCTTTAGCTTTTGAGAGCAATAGTCATCCTGTTTTCGTTCTAAAATTTTCACTCTTTTAGTTGTTCTTTTATGTATGTAGATAATAACTGACTGATGAATTAGCCTGCTACAGATATTTGCATGAATTAACTGTTCGTGGAAGTTTAGATGAGTCAGAAGTTAAAATTGATTGCTCAGCGAGAGTAACATTCGCATATAAATTTGACCCAACCTACTTTTGGAAATTTAGATGTTTTTGAATGTCATCTTTGAGTGTTTTGTACTGAAGTAGAGAATATACGTTTTAAGTTGGGGTGTTTTCGTTTCCGTTTTTTAATGATTATGTTGGATTGCATAAGCTACTTGGAAATGATCATTTAACACCAGTGCTATTTTTATGTATAATTATTTAAGATGCATTTGAGCATATCGTTGCCATTAATTGATATAAATCCAAGTATACTTGGAATAATGTGTAAACATGATGTAATGATATGTGTATGTGAATTGCCACTTTAAAGGCTAAATCTTATTGCAAATATTTTAAGAAGGCCGTTGATATTATGCTGTTGTGTAGGTCATCTTTAATTGTTGGCCATATGTGTGAATGTTTATTATTCGCAATGTCTGAAGTTAGACACTATGTAATAAATAGAAAATTATTTTGTAAACATGTTTACCGAATTTCACACGTTTAGTTCTATAATTGAGTGAATTTTTACGAATGTATTAGTCCTAGAAGCAGAGTTTAATCAGCTAGGAAATTATGTTGCCAAATCATGTGAGGACTAATGTGATGGATTGTTGACCTTTATTCGTTCACATCTCTGCACTTATCGATCTCAACTTTATTTTAAAACAAAGTGTATATAATTCCTACGTTATATTTGCCTTTATGCGTTGTGCAATTTATAATTTATAGAATGAGTGCTCTTATAATATTGCTTATACTTCGTAACATCTTTCAAGTGTTATTAATTTTAATTACTAATTGCAATAATATACAGTTACAAATCCATATTCATTGAGCCAGCTTTTGGACATGCGTATGTTGTTGTTAGAAATTGTTTTTATGAGCAAAGAGCAGTAATAGTACTAGATGATATTTTCTCCGTATTTGTTATTAATGAATTTCTTTGTGATTATTTGGCAAATATTGACAGATACTTACTTACCTTCAAGAGGTATGTTGACTTAACTTTAGATTTACTCGTTGTGTATGATTCTTAGTGCATTTATTGTTCATTACATGTACATGAACACAAGTATCAATTATATTTTGTTAGGCAGATAGTTGAAAGTTTTTCGACTCTAAGCATGCATTTCTAAGAACCAGATTTAATTATTTTGTTCTTCCCATTACATTCGTTGCGATAGCATTGAGATTCATCTCGAAGTGAGCAGGAGATCTGCATGGCAAACGAGGAAATGAAGAAACTTTCAATGAGTTCGTTTGGTAGAGTGTCACTGGTTTTCGCAAAAATAAATTTAATATGTGCATGTGATGAAGGGTGGTGAGTAACAGCTGCTGTGTTGTATAAGGCGTGTGTTTGGTTGAATAACGGATACATCAGTGGAAGTACTGATAAAGAAGACGTTCATACTCTTCAATTATGACACATAAATGACTTCATTCTTTGTTCTCTGTTTTATTTTTCAAGTTTCATATGTGACTATTTTGATCAAATGATGTTATCAATAAAATTTTATCGACTGGTTTCATCAGCAAAATCCATCTAATAGTAGCACATTTTTGGAAACCATGCATTGAAGTGATTATTTGGAGTATAATTAGCTAGAAATGAATTCTAACGACCTCTGCGTTGACTTAATTAGGAAGCAGTGGAATTTTTGCGTTTTTATGCTGGTTATTTTTATTATAATAATAGAGTAATAGTGTTGCCACTAGAAAGAAGTTGCTAGCAGTGTAAGCATAAGATTTACTATATCTGAGCTTCGGAAAACAAATTTGCTAAATTTTGGACTTGAAATAAACGTGTTGTTGACGTTTAGACATTGAGGGAGAAGATGAAGTGCTTGTGAGATGAATAAGTAAGTGAGTGCACATAATTGTGGATATGAAGTACGAAAGATGTGTGTGTGAACCACCAGTTTTTCTTCCTTCAGTGCACTTTGTTCATTTATGTATATTTAATGACTATATAAATATATACTTATTAAATTGTATTTTATAGTTAGCATGTATTCAGTAATATTTATATTTATTACTGCTTGTCTGATTTTCCCACCTCCCACTGCTTGTGTTTATTAATAATGTTTTTGCGTAAGTTGTTTTGTGTGCAAATAATTCGAGCATTAAAGGAAGAAAAAATAAATGATTGTTATGGATGCATTGTTAATGTTGTGATAGAGATGAGTGCTTCTCACGTGAAACGCAGATGCAGAAATGATCGAAGCAAAAATCGTTTTAATTGATTGATTGACTGATTGCTGAAAATTAGTTTCATTTCAGGTTAAAGGAGGTGCTGTATCGCACATTACGAGGAGGGTGTGTTAAGTATTCGAGCAATTGGGAGCAAGTAAGTGAGGAAGTGAAGTAAATTAGTCCTTATTTTAGTTTTTCCATATTTCTGTCTAAGAGAAGAATAGTAAAAATTACACTATTTATTTTCACTTATTATTACTGACCTTTGACTCTATGAATTTTTCCATATTTTCGTATTTCTTGCTTTTGATAGATCCTAAATGCCGTTTATCGGGAAGGATTGGCGAGCACCGGGAGAAACATGGGTATGGTGCTCTAATACCGATGGATGGGAACAAGTGAAATTACGGCCAGTTCAGGTACTACGGCTTTTTTCTAAAAGTGAACAAGCAATTTGAGCTTGGAAACAAAGAAAGTTTATTCATTTTGACTAATAAAAGTAAACTTATGGGTCCAACTTGCTTAATCTGTTAATTCATTTTGTATGATTTGGATTAATGAATCAGTTCTTGTTTGTTCACTTTTTACTCTGAAAATTGGTGATGAAAGATTTGTATCCCTCGTAATGTGCAATTCTCATACTTGAAACTACTTTTCAATAACAAGTATTTTTAAATTTGAGCTCAAAATATCTTTTATCCTTTTTACAATTATTTTTGAACATACTTTTTTTGGTTAAAATTTTCTATGATAACATTAATTATTAATATTTTTGTATCAACAATTTATTTATATATTCAAGTAAGTTGAGTAATTTCCTCTAATAAATATGATATTGTACGCAAAGCAGAATAATCTATTTTTCTTAAAAATGTGAATTTGTAACTTTTAAAATTAAAGTAATTGTTATCCATGGATTTTAGCAATAAAAAAAACCTTGCGAATGATAGTTTTTACTTGAAAAAAGAGACTGTAAATTATTTTGCTCCACAAATTGCTTGCAGAAACGTATACAACGTTTTTAATCATTGTTCTTCGATAAAATACAGATCATTTAAACAATAAAATATGCATTAGTGCATTTATTCTAGATTATTGTTATTTTTTAAGTTGTTCGTAATTAATTTGGCATATATTTGATATGATAATTCAGATATAACTGACAGTTTACTTTTAAATCAACAAATAAAGGAATTTTTATAGATGTTGCCAAGGCATTTTCAGTTATTAATTATAGGTGGAAGAAACAAGTGATGCAAATCGATCCTCAACGTGTAGTTCAGTGGTAAAAATTAAGCGTAACACATCTTCAGTGTCATTATCAAGTAATGATGAAAATTGTTCTCGATCAGACACTGATGATTCTGGTTATTTTTTTATACATATTTTTTTAAATGAATTTCGATTCATGTCTCATTATATATTCTTATTATCACCTTTATTATTTTCATTTTTGGAAAATACAGTTTTACAAACTTTTAATATAATTATCTATTTTAGATACGTAGTGATTTAAATCAGTTGTTTAATATCCAAAAACATCATGTGTAAATAAAGTCAGCTCCAGTTTTATGTATTAATTGCCATAAATTTCTGAGTATTCTGCAATCACTTTTTATTTTTGACATTAATCAGATTTGATTGATGTTTTTAGTTTCGGATGGTGATGACTGGATCCCACACTGTTTTGTAAAGACTGGTAAATCTAAAGAAGTCAGTTTTGGTCATAAACTAATTTTTTTTTTCATCCTATTATTTGTAATATTTTGAAGATTTGTTTTTTCATTTTATTATAATTTCACTGATATCGCATTTAAAAAATATTTTACGTAATCGTCAGAATTAAAAAATGGAAAATTTGCTTAATTATGTATCATTCTTGAAATTTTTATTGATGCCCGTAGTATGATTTGGTTCCCAAAATATTTATTTAGTTTTTTTCTTAAGTTTGTTGGATGTACAAGTATGAGTGAGGCATTTCATCGTTTGGATCTAGCACGAGCCGTTAGCGATGTCCGCAGATTCAATTATATCTGTAAAGTAAGATTTTGTGCCAAAAACATTAAGTGATTAAAATTCTGTTTTTATTTTGAGAAAAAATAATGGGAATTACAATCTTGAATTCCGATGATAATGGATAATTTGAAAATTTGAAGGTTGTTCAAATTCTTGTCCAAGAAAAGTTACAAAATTTGAGTGCAACTGCTCGAAAAGCTCTTCTTTCCATCATTAAGGCGATTGTATTGACAAGTTAGTTTCATTTCCTGAGAACTACGTCATTAATAATTTTCTTTTTCATATATGCATCACTTCTTCTCCAAGTTTGGATCTTAACTTTTGTAAGAAATATTAAATGATGGTAGAACATTTTGATTTGGTTGAAATGAGAAAATTTGGTTTGATTAATGAATTCTTAACATTTGTCATGATTATTTAGGTGTTGAGAAAGATCTTCACATATCCACTGCACGATCTCTCGTTTCTGGTTTTGCTACGGGTCTCGAGGGTCATTTATACGGTTCACCTCAACTGGTTTCGAAACAAGTAGAAATGATTGGCGATTTGCTGGAGCTTATTTCTGAGCGACGACCTCGCACTTTGGCGGATAGTGTCGAAGAATCTGTGACATTCATGGATTTGCCGAGAGAAATCTTGTCTGTCATCTTAAAGTATGCACTTTAATAAAACTTCATTTATCAAATCAGTAAATGATTGAGCAATATTTGGGTTTTAACTGCATTGTTAATATGATTTTTAGGATGTTACGAATTTTTTGTTTTCGTGCATTTTGTTAAATGTTGGAATTGATTGTAGAAAGCTTCCTGATCACGTTTCACTGCTGGAAGTCGCTAAAGCATATGAAGTGTTAGATGCTATTGTCAAAAAAGAAGGACAGCTTTGGGCATCTCTTTGCAATTTTCATTTCACACAGGAACAGATCTCAAAAATTAAACACGATTCAATTTCATGGCGCCATGCTTTTTTCGAGCTGAAAAAATATTATGGTTTGCGGGAATATTATGCTGATTTGATTCATCTCTGCTGTCACTGCAAAGCCATATTCTGGAAAGTAGGAGTTGTTTGTTTACTTAACTAAACACATAACTGGTTATGAATTTTAAATGTTTATGGGAAGTTCTGTCTGAATCCTGCGATTCTAGGAATGGGTTTTATACATTAATATGTAAATAATATGTTTTCTTGAAATTACTTCATGCTCTTTCAGGATCATGGACATCCATGTATTTCCAAGGATGGACCTTCAGTGCGTGTGACCCCCCAACAGTTTGTTGACATGCTACTATTTCTGTAAAATTTGGTTGACTTTATCCATGGCATTATTTGTTTTCTGCAGTGGCTAAAATCATATTTGTTATCTAACTATTATTTGTATTTTCAGTGTATCTAAAGGTGAAATCACTGGCGGGAAATATAATTGTTTAATTCCGTAGAGTAGATACTAATTGTTTCATTGTTGCCTTTTCGATGATTTGTGCATATAAACTCACTGTAGAATACTATTGTAGAGTTCGTATCTTCCCTTGCAATTATTGTTTACTGCATTTGTATATTTGTAAATTTTCAAATTTGTCAGCATAAAGTGTACTGATTTTTGAAAAGATTTCGAGCGTGTGCTATTTATGAGATACACTCAATAACTCCAAAGAAATATGGCAATCTTTAGGCGGTATCGTTAGAAATGAAGCTGTCAAGATCAACTATGTGGCATATTAACTGGCTGAGAAATTAGTAGTTTGCTGTGTTGTGTTGACATGAACAAACAGATAGAGATTAGATATATCAAGTTTACTACAATAATTCTATCTTGAGCAATTTCTTTGCGTTAGCTTTCTTAGTGGTGAGTAGTCAGCAGAATTATTGAGGAAGTACAGTTTTTTATTACGACGAATGTACATATGTAGTAGCATGATCATTCTAGAGCTAAAAGATTATGACGGGGCACTATTACTTTGAATGATGAACAAGGGGCTTGTTCAAAGTGTTCTTCAACAGCGTGTAAGGTAATTTGATTTGATGTATATGGTGCTCTTGAACATTAGTTAAAGTTCTGGCTGTAGTCTGCAGTTCCGTCAAAGTTGGTTCCATAATTTTAGTTAATATAAAACGACAACAATTTGGGCATACTGTCATTTGTAATTGTTAGAACGGTTGCTCCCGATCGCATCAGTATTTACTTTATTTGATTTATTTTTTCAGCTAAATTTTGATAGCGATAATGCTTTGCAATTTTCAGTCATACTTACTTATCCTGTCTGTGTAGTTTTGATAATACTGATGATTATATCAAATATCTTGGTACCTTATCAGTCTGTGCTGAAGTTTTTGCTTGTATCAAGAGTACAAACAGTAAAGTCAATTAGTGGTAGTAGTCAGCATTTTCTCGTTTACAAATATTTTATGCAAATCGCAATGGATTCACGTGAAATTTCACGAAACTTACAATATTGCGCGCATATTTTGAAGAGCAAAGATGGTCTTTCCTGAGATGCGTATGGATTATGCAAGACGTAGAAAATATACTACATTTGCGAGTTTTATGCACGGTTTTTTAGCAATGCTTATATTTATTACCGAAATTTATCAATTGTTGATATTGTTGATAGTTACGTAAGTAATTTATAAGGTCAATATAATGTACTTTGCTAAAATCATTTGTGATACAAGAGAATATGCAACTTTCAAAGTATTTACATGTATGTATCTGTTTTTTTCAAAAGTCCTTTACTGTTTGATTCAAACCTTTAACTTTAAGTTTATTTATTGGATAATCTTTATATTTTTATTGTAATCAATTTTCACGCTGTTTACTTTTCTTTGAACTGACTTTCAAATTAAACTAAAGAACTGAAAATAAATTTTGCATTCAAAATTTAACCCAAACTAAAAATTCCAGTCCAAACTTACAAAAAATCATAACTATGAAGAATTGGAACAATTATTTGATTACTGTTGTGCCTTTTACTAACGCTGTACTATTATTAGTACAGTTCATATTGCATGGTTTGTCAGTATTTTTCTTGGCGGAGCAACGAGATAGTTACTCAAGATGGAATGTGAAACACCTCACAGTTAGTTTCTATTTTAAGCACAGATCTCAGTAAATAACGCATTTTATGTGCGTGACTGATTTGCTGTAATTCCATAATTCGCTGTTACTTGCGTAATGCTTAAAATGCAGTTAAGTCAGATGCAAGAAGTATCATTTTACAACTCCACTACTTCATTGCATTTTTTTCAGTTCTTCTTGTGCATATTAATCACTTCCTTTATCTTCTCAGTATTCATCACCGTTACAGACATTATTTACTACTACAAGTTTGATGATCTACTCAAAATTGGAATAGCTCAAGTACGATATACAAATACATTTTAGCGCTCAATTTTTTTAGATGATTTACTTTATCATTTGAGCGTTTGAATTATTTACACTGATAACTTGTCTTTGTAAATAATTACGTCTCAAACATCTTTGGTGTAACGATTTTAAAGGCAAACCTTTGTGGGCTAATTAGATTATTCATAACATTTGATTTGTGGTAAATCAAATATTTGAAAGAAAATATTTGTAACATTTCAGCGCATGCTTGGTTTTAGCACAAAACAAACTGATCGAAATCTGATACATTGGTTACAAGGTTTTTTTGAATGTTGTGGTGTTTTCGATTACGAAGATTGGTTGCCACTAACCGCCAAAAACAGTTTGGTAGAATAGTAAGCTGCTAGATATTCTAAATTATTTAGAATCAAATATAATTCAAGAACTGCAACTAAAAAAATGCTATATAAAGAGTATTAAATTAATTCTTCCCTTTGGTTTTAATAAAATTTACTTTTTAAAATTTCATATTTTTTATTGTTAAAATAGACTGCGGTAATGTAACATATCACATGTCACACAATACATTCTGAAAAAGTCAGACAAATCTAACCCATCAATTATTATAATGTAAGATTTTTAAAAAGTGGTATAAAATTTCTAAACATTGATCTCTTTTAAAAACAATTAAGTAAACCAATAAAGTAGTAGTGATAGATAAGCTAACCAAAGATTTTGTACAACAAAGTAATTGTAATTTGATAAACTTAGTTTTACCGCTAAATTTCATTGTGAAACATTGATATCTAAGCACCAATTTCTTAGTATTTTGACAACATTTTACTCAGTTTTGTCCTAACAATGCCAACAAATTTATTTAACTTCCAGCAATTTGCTAAGTAAGGAAACGAAGCAGTGGGCTCACTGTACAAAAAATGGATGTTATCTGCCCCATTCGTGTTGTAAAAGCAGTCAGCTAAGTTGTTCTCCACTAATATTATCAAAAAACTGTACAAAAAATATAGAAATTGGAGTGCAGAAAGCCAATGATTGGTTTCATCCTAATGGTAAGATTTGTCATTTTTTAGTTTCTAATCTAATCACTAAGTAATAATTCTAACAGTAGCTTCCATCTTGCAGAAGTAGAATGGCTTTACGTGTTTTACACACTTTTAGGTTTCAGTTTTGAAAATTTTTTGACAATTTCATTGATATAATCTTGCAGTAATTAGTGTACATATGAAATATATTTGTATTTGCATTTATTATTAAAAATTTTTTTGATTGATAATATTGGTTTCTTAGCACATTAAAGTTTATATAATTGACTTTCAGGTTGTGTGGATGAAGTGAAAAAAAAACTTGTTACATTTTTGCCAGTTTTTTTTTCAATTTTACATTTGATAATACACTGTATAACTTTGACATATTCACAAATTGCTTGTACAAGCTATTATACAGTGATGCGATGTAAAGTTCAAGACGATGCTATTCTACCCGCGTGGATTTTACCATTTCCACGGCCTTATCCACGAGCTCTTATCAAAGTTTGTTGTTTATACATGAATTAAATTCTATCAAAGAATGTATCACTACACGTTCTGAAATTGATTTTGAAACACAATGACTATTAAACTGATTCAATCAATTTCATTTTAATAAAAAATTCATTAAATCGTTCAATTTCTTTCGTTTTATTCTATAATGCCAATGATTTGCTACCATTTTTTCCAAGTTGAGTTGTCATAAGTGAAGACGACTGAATATTGGATAAACTTTCATATTCTTCTGTCATATTTTTAGATTATCTCTTTTAATTATCATAAATATTTTGAAGAAATCATTGAAATAATTAAATTAAATTTTTGGTTGTAAAGATTAATAATATTCATTTTAAAATATTTTTGTTGACTTTTGACTGCAAAGTATCATCATAAGTATTTATTCTTTCAGAAATGCCAAAGACGTTTGCGCCAAGGACGCGATTTTCAAGAGTTTTCTTTATAAATCATTATGTTATGTAATTTTTCTTGCAAGAATTAATTGTTTTAACATTTTTCTATTTCTTGAGAAACTTTAAAATTTAGAAAGCTTTTAAGTAAAAATTGAAAATGAGTCTATCTTACAGCTTATTAAGTAGGTTCAATATTGTCGGAAGTTTAATTCTGCGATTGCATACGCATGATCAAGAGTACTTGATCAGAACACTGAGCTTCATCATATTGCTTTGAATTTAGACTCTCTGAAAATGGGTCTTGCTAATTGTTTTTTCTTTGCGCACTTTAAATTCATCTCTTACAGACTAATTTCATGAACACTGAAAATAAAATTTGCATATGATCACTAAGTACTCTGTTTATGTTGAAGACAGTTCCAAATCTAAATAATTCTGCAAGCTTTGATCACATTGTCCCCGAAAAGTGAAAAGTGACATATGAAGAAGTGATGAGGAAATTGTTAAAATATCGTTTCAGGTTCTATTAATCATGTTTGCAGAAGTTATCATTTCTATTGTTTGATTTGTGAGTGACCTATAACCCTATTAATGCATGATATTAATCCTTTTTTTGTTGAAATCATTGAAAAGATAAGGCGAAAACGATAAAAATTTTGAATAATTCACTCATAAAATAGAGTGCGACCCGAATAGCCGCGGGATCACATTAGAACAGTGATTCCTCAAAGATTTTTCTATTAAAAATAGTCGGTAAGCGTAATACTGTTAGCTTTTAAATCTTTTCAACAGAAGTTTAAATAAAATTTTAAAAATTATTGAAAACTGTGCCATTTGAAGATTTATTGAAAATCCATTAATGCCTGAAGTTTAAAGCCTTAACATGCGACAAATTTCAAGAAGGACTAGAATTTAAACAGTATTATTAGCAATAATAAATATCTATCGAAAAAATTCAACATATGAAAATAAGTATTGGCAATTAGACGTGCTGAAAGTGAGATATTAGTCTGAATTGCAATACTAAGTCAATGCTTCATTCTTTTTTGGAATACTTTTGCTTAATCTGACGTACTTTGCAGAAATAAGTAAGCAATATGTGACTTTTTTGAGTAATTAATAGTGTGAAATTAATTTGTGTTTTCAAAATAAATACTCTCAGTGCACTTGAAATCCATTTGAAAAGTTTGTTTCATTGTTTTAGTCTTTTGCAGCTTTTATATTTGAAATCATTATATTACATCCATATTATGAATGTATCAAATATGAATTTAAGAAATATATTTCCCATATTTGCTCGTCCATCCACTCTCATATTGAATTTCAGTATTGCTTGTTAAGAATTTCAGCTCCATTAACAATTGTTGGAGTTTTTAAGTAAATTTTGACAATATTTTTTCTTTCATAAATACAAAGGTTTTAATTATTTTGCACAAATAGAATAGAATAAGAACAAAAATTGTTGAAGTTCTGGTAGCTTTGCAGACGTTCGATAGAGTAAAACAAACTTGTAATAAATTACTCAGACGTAAAGCTTACCCCTTTGTTGCCGTATGCTAATTAGTCTCATTTGTCATTGCTTAAAACTTGTCTTTGATCTCCAGAATTTACGGAAATTAAAGCTGCTAATAAGTCACTAATTTGTAAAAACCTCAAAATTTTGCACAAATTTTTTCCACTTACCAAAAAAGCGAATAAGATGAATAAATTGAGACGTAAGGATTTTGCATTAGTTGCAACTGAGCTAAATGTATTTTTGGCACAAAAGGTCCAAGATTAAATACAAAAAGTATTGGCAAATAAAGCGAAATATAAATTAATAATCTTTAAATATGGAAATGGCGAGATCGCAAACAATTTTTTTCTTTTTTTTAGAATATAAAATGAAATAATTAAAAATGAATGGCTAGAATATGTAAATTACACAAAATCAAAAGTAATACCTTGTCAAGCACTTCTACCAGTAGTATAATAGCTGACCTTAATTATCTATATGACCTTTTAAGTATAGTTTTTGAGTAATCTTTGATTTCTTGATTTCTACTTTTTTTAAAACATGTTTCATCTTTTTCATTTTGCAAAAATATGTTAATTTAATTTGTGTTAAAAGTATTGTATTGTCTATAAATCAAAATAATAGGTTAATAGGATTAAAATCTGTCATGTTAAATTTATTAATAAGATTTTCGTTGAAAAAGTTTTTATAGTTGTGTTTATTACTTTCTACTTCTAGTTGCCTTTTGAACAAAAGTCTTGCAATTTTTGTTTCACATTATCAAGTGATAACTGTATTGAGCAATGCAGTTCTTGTTTGTTTGAAATTTTCTCAGAAACTGAAAAAAATTCAGCTAGAAGTTTGAAAAATTAGCAAATATTTGCTTGTCATCAAAGGATGAGATTACTCATTTCTGTTACTTTTCGGACACATCCATCACTGGTCAGTGCTGGGCAAGTATGCAGTCGCTGAATTTTTTCTTTCTTAAACTTTTTAGCTTCAATTTACTTTTTTTTGACAACATTAGATATAGTTTTTATCTTCAGTATTAAACGCACATCTATTAGCAGAATTTAAGAATTAGATTTTTTAATTAGCATTGAAGTCCAAAAAATTTTCGTTCCTAAAGTAACTACTATTAAATTTGCATAAATTAAACTGACAACGTACACTTTACTATAATATTAATTCTTACAGTTTTAGGAAATGCATTTGATTTATTAATTATTTTGAATTCAGAAACAGAATTTAGTAATCCCTGAATGAGTCCACTGCATGTGGATTTTTGAATTTTTTCATTTACGACGTGAACGTAGGTAAATTGATAAACACTAAATAGCTTGATATTTAAGGTTTTTTAAAATATAAATATTGATCCAAATTTTGAACTTTTTAGTTTATCAGAACTGCAATTTTTTTGATTCTTGCTAGAAACTGAAAATTTTCTATCCGTTCAAGAAACGAAATATATAAAATTAAATCTGCTAAAGTCACATCTTTCGATAACATTTTACACTGTGAAAATATAATGCAAAATACAGAGTTTCAGTTTTCACTGTTAATTTTGAAACTGTAAAAGCATATAATGAAAACTGCAACTTATGAATAAATAATTTCATTGTGGTAGTGACGCTTGTTAGTGAGCAAGTAAGTAACTTTATCGTTTGATGAATTTTATTGCAATTAAAAATAAAATTAAAAACGAAATTTTGCTTGAATTAATAATACGATTTATTAATACACTTTCAGATGAGTAAAAATCACAGAGTTCTGTTAACTTGAACGAATTAAGTCTGAAGTTATGATTGCAGAATAATAATTGAAATGAATTCATAATTGAAAGTGAAAGCATTTTGTGCTAACTTTAATAATACAAAGTGACATTTGTCTTTTATTGTTTATTTGTTTGTTTAAAAAAGATTCTAAACTTTAAAATATTCATTCATTTCATCGCAAATTAAAATTACTTTTTTATTTTTTTCGCTTTCCATTTCAATAATAAATGAATTGGCTATTGCATTTGTATTATTTTCACACCTTTTTTGATCAAATTTTTTCAATTACAAAATTTGATACTTTTTCTTCGCATTTATTTACTTAACCTTTCGTTATTCAATTCATTTAGCAGTTTACACTTTTCCAATTTATAGCGCAATTCTTTTTTTTAGTCTTACTTTTGGCATTTCAAACAATAACAATCAACGTTTTTTCAAAAAAACACAACAAAAGTGACAGAAATATCACATCTGCCATGAATTTTCGCTGTATGCAAATGCTTAATTTATCTTACCGACTAGGAAGGGTCATTCATGAGGGTCATTCATAATTTGCAACAGATAATTATGATTTGCAGACGAGTTTTTAATCATTGAATTTTATGAAAACTATGAGCTATTTTATGTCTATTTTCCAACATGTTTTCCACATTAGTAACATAATTTAATTGTTATGGTAATTAAATAATATTTAATTAATAAGTTGTAGTTCTTAACTGTAATGATTTTCTTTTCTAATGGTGTGTACAGTTCCGAAATTAATCCTTCGTAAATTATAATGTTATCATTGATCCTATTAGTTGATTTTTATTAGTCATCGATTTTCCAATTATTCAATTTTTTGTTTTTTGATATTTTTTTCGTTATAATCCACTATTTCGCTTGACTATAAAAGTATTACTTGAAAGTCATTGAAATTTATTGAAAAATGAAAACTATGGAAAGTTACGACGAAGTAAAAATTATTGATTTAGAAAAGAATCGATCGTTTTTCAAAAGTTATTACTGATTTCGTAATAGATCAGAAATGCGCTGTCACCTTTCTCTTTTAATATTTTGAAGCAATGCTTCTGCAAATATAATATTTATTTATTAAATGAAAACTGTTTATTTAGCAGCAACATTTTCTCAAGAACAAAGGATTTCAAACATTCTTGAAGTTATTGATTTGATCGCCGAAAAAAGTTGCATGATTTCAACTTTGACAGTTAGAAGTTAAAGGTTAGACTGGCAGCAGTACAACTTTATTTATTTGATGAAGTACTTGTGCATTATAACAGTTGCTACCCGTCTTTCAGATATTAAATCTCTTTAACTGATCTAATCAATCAGTACTTATTCATTTTT